TTTAGCATTTGTATTTGACTTATTTACTGGCACACATTTAAAAATTATGGATCCAAAGTTGTTTGAAAACTTAGTATCATGTATGTAAAAGTATTGCACTATCACACACTAAATATTGAGGATCTTCCCTAGTCTGCCACTTTGTAACATTATTAAAATAGGCCTTAGTTTCTATATTTGTAACATCATGGTATTAAAGTAGTAGCCTTTAAAGTTCCTGGTAGTCTTATAAGTCTGTTCCTTTGAATAAGTTTCTGCACTGACTAAATAAATATTACCATTCTATTTAGCCCCTCTCTCTGATATTATATTACTATCCAATTAATATAAAGTAATTTACATTTATTTATTCAGGCTTTGCATTCCATGTTACTCCACAGAGTTAGACATTATCAACTGAAAATTTTCAAATTAATTTAAGGTCTTTTTCATTTAAGTGAAGCTGTTTCTGTTAAATGAAACAATGACTTCTCTTGTCATCCGCTAAAGTTTGTTACAGAAAGTTATAGGAAGATAGGAAAATGAGAACTCTAGAAATAAAAGAATAGTAAAATTAAGAATGCTACCTTTCCATTTCACTTAAGAGTTTTCATTCCTATGAACTTCTTTTTGATTGTTTGGAGCATGTTTTGTGCAAAAGCAGCTCAACAAAAATAACCTGTGCCATCATTATTTCGGCAGTAGAATTTACTAGATAGAGCCATCTATTAAACCTGTATAATTAACTAGTTATGTCTCATTTAATAAAGAATATACCCCAACGTAAACTATTCTCTAGATTTTCATATTTTTTAAATGATAGGTATTCTAAAATTGGTCATGTATTTTTGTCTCTCAAAACATCAGGATTATCTGCTCACTCTACTCATTCTACTTTTACTAAAGACAAAACACATTGATTCAGAAATTTATTGCATGAATATTTTTAGTGTGTATTATATCAGATATTTTGCTTTACTTTGCCTTAATAAATCACAAGTGAAACAGAATTGTTTTACAGTGAAGTACCAGTGGTATTCAAAGGGCTGAAATATAGTGAATTGAAATATTAACCAGTTCCTAAAAAGTATTTTACTTACAGGAGTTTGCTTAAATTTTGAGGTTTCAAGTAAAACTTTTTAAAATGTCATCCTCTGAATCATAGCTACCAGAAACATTGCATAGCTATACCAATATACACTTAATGATATTGGTTGGAAGACAGATAATTTCTAAGAAAAAAGTTTTATTTTCTGTCATTGGTGCCCATACTTAAAAAAAAAGTAACATAACAAAATAGGGTTGAAAATGTTTCTCTGTCAGGGCAATTCAGTGTAAATGAGGTAATTCTAAAAATAAAATAGTTCAGCCTCTAGGCCAAACAAACAAAAATGTTTATAAACTTAATCTAAATCAATAGAAAATATATCAAAGGAGAAGGAGGGGATCTGCATTAGTCATTACATAATGAGATCTAAATTTAATGAGAACACATGAGATTCAGAGAATTTAATGCCAGCTGTGCTTTTCTTACTTTATGGTTCTCCACAAAGCCACCAAACCTCTTTAGATCTTAGTTCTCTTATCAATAGAATAAACACGTAAAATATACAACCTTTTCTCAAAAATTTTCAGCAAAGATCTTGAAGTATAAATGCATATGCCCAGTGATATAGGCACTTTATGTGACTTACCTTTATGTAGCTTCTATAAGCCTAAACTTTCTTTCAAATATATGTCTTTAAGACATTAATATAAAACTGTCTTTCTACTCTATTCTGTGTTTGCTTCAATAAAAACATAGCACAACTACTTATTATTGGCAAGAGAGTGTAGGATGGGATAATTTTTTACCATGTTAGCAGTCAAAATGATTTCACAGTAAGCTCAGTTTCGAAGAATTGGACTAAACCAGAGGAAATCAATAACCCATATCATATTAGCTTCCAGGCAATATTTTTCATTGCATTATTCTGGCATCCAAACCTTTATTAAAAAGGTGAATACAAACGGCAGAATAATTTCACTGCTTTATAGGCCACATCCTGGTAATTAACCCACAACAGTAGATCCCCTAGTAATTAATCCCTGAAGAAAGATTCCCAGAATGTTGCAAAAGAAGCCATACAAGGCAATATTTTCAGACTACTTTTAATGAATATTTTGTTATATATTCTGGCTGAGAGGCTGAGGAAAAGATTGAAATGGTTTTGATCCTTTGGTTTATATCTTTTACAACCTCAGTGAAATTCTCGTAAAAGGATTCCTTCAGAGTAGAAAGATTATTAGTGATAACATTTTTTGTTTTGGAACTGTCATTTTAATTTTCAGTATATGTCAATAAACTAACAATTTGAACCAACTCATAATCCCTGCAATTCTTTACATTTAATTCTCAAACTTCATTAATATTACAATGATCCTGTATGTAACAGAAACATTAGCAACTTAAACTTGCTTAGTTACTGGTAGAGAATGTTTAACCTCACAGAAGAAAATGTATAAAATTAGATAACTTATGAGGCTCATAAAACTCAAGAAGAGTAAATTAATTCATTTTATTCAAATGCTAATATTTTGTGATTTCTTTTAAATTCTTATCAGAGAAAAATAATATAAGCAGTTGGATTCACTATGAATTTCTTTCATTCTTCATCATAATTGATGATTATGGGTTGATTATAATAAATGAGAGCATTGAATTTTAAAATTTATTGGTTTGACTTTTTTCTACTTCTCAAATTTTAGTTTATGAGACGAATCTTTTTGAAATTCTCTCTGAAGGTGTTCAGTATTTGGTACCAGTACCTGTTTCAGGAGCTGCAGAGATTCACATGGCACTTCTGACATTGACAACCACATTGGTTTTCTAAAGTCTTCCTGTTATGATAGTTTTGAATTTACAAAGTCTATTTATAAGAAGAAAATTGATGTCAAGCACTGACAAATGAGCTGTCTGCTCCAAAAACCTTTATTTAAAATAGTGTTATAGTCTGTGTTTCATGTTTAGTGTTCAATGGTGACTATCTTTTCTCTTCTTATACTTCAATCTTTAAGTCTCTGTACTTGCTCTTGCAAATGGAACTGATATGGTTTAGGAAAAATGTCTTCCATAAATAAATATAATAACAAAATTTCTTTTATAGATAGAGAGATCTACACATATATGGCCTCTTATAGGTATCAGTTTTTGTTTCTAGGCCATTTATTTCTAGGCCTAGTAAGGGAATACAACTTTAAACTAGCAATCAGGAACTGCAGATGTTGCATCTAGATTTAACATTAAAATCCTATGTAACCTTGAAAAGATAACCTCATGTTTTTAGACTTGATATAATTTTAAGCTTTCTACTAATTAAAAAAATGAGGAAAAGGGTATTCACTTGCTACTGAAAGTCTTCACAATTTATGAAAATTTCCGGAAAGCAGCATGAGACACTAGACTATATTTTTATATAAAAATACATAGTTTATCTTTATAATCAAGATGTTGTGAGTCTCCATTTAAAGTAGGAAACAGCTTCTGTTATAAAGATATTTTCTGAGGTCAAGAAAATAGCACAAGAGAGTAACTTGATTATTAGGAGCTCACTGTCTATCCAGAGGCCTTGTCCTATAGGATGGCCTAAATTTGAGAATTCTAAATTTGAGAATTGTGTTTGATAAAGAAGAATGAGAATTGGTGATTGTCTTTTGGTCATAACATTTAGTTAATGCTGACAATTAGTAAAAACTATTTACACCAAGTGAAACCAGAAGTTGACACATTCTTTTGTGCCAAGATGCTTTTCTTCAAAATGAAAATTTAATTCTTAGAATTTTTCCTAAGCAATCTCTATATACTGTCAGAGACGTCCCAAAAGGGATAAGACAATCTGTAGTGCGCCAGATACAGTTTTGTAGCACAGCCAGGTTTCTTTTATTTGTTCCAGGGGACTTTAACATTTGGCATCACGCTGATACTTCTCTACTGTCTCCGAATGCAAACAGAAACATCACAGCTAACTTGACCTACGCTGGTCAGAGTGGAGACCATCATTCTGCACATGTAGGAATCCGCTTGATGTGAAACTTCTTTACCTTTCTTCCCTGCCTTTTTTGTCTTCCTCTTTAAATAAATATTATTTGTCATTACAGCTCTATTAAAAAGCAAAGGATTGGTGTCTGCCAACACAAAGTAACAACAGAGTATAGGGGGGATAAATGGAAATAGAAAAAATACAATAAAAAATAAACTGTTTTTTAAAAAAGGCAAAGGAGTTTCTAGTTCATACCTTATCTGATAAAATACTTTGTGTTAAGAACCTTCCTTTTGTCATTTGTATAGTGATATAAAACAAGTTTTTAAAATTGTAGCTTTATTTTCCCCTATCTTACCTAAGAGGAAAACTCAACTGAAATACAGAAAGCTTTGAGGAAGTGACTGTATCTGATATTGGTCTGGCATTAAAATTTTCTGGTTGGGCAGCACAATTGTTTAATTAGGAATCTCGGTGACAGCTGAACAACCTCAGTGCTTGGGGTCAGCAAGCAGAGGAGCTTCACTCTGTCACTTATTAAGAATGATGCTTGTCAGGACTGATCTTTCCACTTGGGGAACCTTCATGTTTCTAATCATACCATTGATGTTTTCTGATACTACAATGGAATAGACACTAAAACACTGAAAGAGACAAAGTTCTATGCATAGGTGTATTTGTAATTCTTTGTTTTTCATAAGCCAAATGCAAATGTAACACTACTCCAGATACTGCTTCATCAGAAAGCTCCAAGATAACTGAAAGTAAGTGCCCATTTCTTCATCTCAGGAATAGTGCCATGACGATGATTGAATTCTAGTGGCCAGCCTATTTGCAGAGCATGTCGTATGGCCTCTGGGTTAGTTTACTCCTTGACCTCCTAAGAGGTACCTCAAAGAGTCAATTGATGTTTTTGCATGTATTACTTACTAATGCATAGAAAAATTTTTAAGTTCACTTTTTCTTTATTCTGTCTTTTTTACCCATCTTCCCTCATTGTAGCAAATTAGACGGCCGGATGAAAGCAAAGGAGTTGCTAGTAGAGTTGGATCCCTCAAAGTAAATATGTTTCTAACATTTTTTGGCAAGATTTTGTCTATAGCCTACACTTCTTCCTTTTTGGAGGGTGGTGGGAGGAAGGGGGCTTTTTCCATTTTTCACCATCCCATTTTTTTTTATTTTAATATTTTTATTGGCTGTTGGGTCATATTTTTTGTTTGTTTCAGCTACACATAGAGCAACCAGCTGAAGGCAAGCTGCCAAATAACTAGCTTTGAATGGCACCACAAACAAGAAAAAGGGCAACTGCCTCATTCTAGGTGCCTGTAATTCGGGGTTCTGGAGTAAACCGTTCCTCTGACTGATGTCACTGTGTCTTAAGTTCCTGCTATACAGAGAACTAATATTTATTTTCAGAATATTATCTTTCCTTTTACATTTTTTGTAAAAAATAATTAAGTGTTATGTTAGTGTCATTACCATTTGTAATTTAGTCCAGGAAAATAATTATTATGAGTTAATAACAGATATTTTATACATATGTATAAAATCTTAAGAATTAGACATTTCATATGATGCTAGTATAATGGGCTCAAATATAGCTAACAGTATTTAAGCACTCTTGATCCCCTTTGTTTTATTTTTTAAAGTTAAAAATTTGATATAACAATCAACAGCAACAATATATATCTAATATTTGCCCATTCGTGTATTTGATGTGCTAATATACAACTTAAAGATTTCTGATCTGATGGTCCCATTTGCTAGTTAAATATCTTGGGCACTTGATACTCTAACATTTAATCACAATGAAAAGGTAAACAAGTTATCACTCTTAAGAATTACTGACATAGCCATTGATAACTTTTAATGCTGCCACTATAAATGCAAGATGGAAAATTTGAATTTTGCAATATACAGAGGAATCTCCCTCCAAATAAATGACTTCTTATATCGCAATCCCATTTGTTCTTATAACAGGAGTAATTGTTAAACTAATCAACATAACAGAAATTTCACTGCACTGTTTAGATGTCCCAAAATTTAGTAGCTACCACGAGGCCTATTAAGTCATTGCAAAATTTTACACACCTTCAATTTATTTCCATTTAACAATTTATGAAGCACTAATATCCACATTGTTTCCTCTCCTTGCCTCTTCTGCCTTCTTAGTTTTACTTTTTTTGTGTCTGTTTATTTATTTGTATGTGTGCCACGCACGTGAGTGCACATGGATGAAGGTGTGTCTGTATGTTTGTGTCCTTTATTCCAGACAAGCCATCCACTCTGTTCTCTAACACTGCTATATACTGGGTAGCATTTTTTAAGTGTTATTTCACTAAGCGTAATCAGAAGGTATGGGAAGTGTTGATTATATCCTATTTCAAAAATGAGGCAAGGTAAAATTATTCAGCCAGAAAAATGAGTTTATGTATCCTGATGATATAACAGTAGCATTCCTCACTGTCTATCTGTGAGGTATCATATTTTACCTTTGTCTTTAAGGAAAGGTAACTCCATAATTGTCTAGACTATGGATTATGAATCAGACTCAAGCAAAAATGTGCAGAGCAACATAACCTTTTGGAAACTACTGATAGTGAAATAAAGGTCAAATGGCATCCATACCGGCAGCACCATCTGCTATAAACTGGATTGTGTGTGAGAGTGCGTGTGTGTTTAATTACGTCTACATTCAGTTTTTAGGTATATAGGTACAATCAAGTCATAATTGTATGCTTATTGTTTTTAAGTGTGTATATATTTAAGTGTGTATATAGTATGATTATGTATATACACGTTATATATAAGACAAAAGATATATTTTAGGGTTCAGTCAGTTTAATATAGATGTAGCCTTAAATCAGAAAGTGTGTTTGGAAAAGAAAGGCAAATTTCATCATTTTTAAATATATTACTCCATATTTCTACCAAATAGAAAAATTTTAAGTAAATCTGTAAGGGATTATAGGGATAGTTACAGGATTTATTTCCTGTAATGCTTTTGGGAGACAAGATGCAATAATTAAAAGAAAATATTGGCTTCCTAGTCATGGGTTTATTGAGCATGTATTCTCATATTACATGAAGATCTTTGATGTGTTGAAATGTTTGCCAAAGGCAGTGAGAAATGTATAATGCTATGATCTTATTTTTAAAAGGAAAAAGGAAAACTGAAAAGAGAACAAGTTGCTTTTTCAATTCATTTTCTGATGTTTACATATAGCTCCATCGAAAGCTGGAGGAGCTCAGAGATCACCTAGAAGGCAATGTGAAAGGATACTCTCTCAGAGTAAATGTACGATTTCACTCGGTGATTTTTTTTTCCTAAACTTCTGCTGACTGGTAATTCCAAATCTGATTGGTTTGTCCTCTCATCTCCATCTTTTTTACTTTCTGTCTCTCTTCTCCCTTTCTCTTTCTTTCTTAGCTGCAGCTTCATACTCTTTGTTTATGAAATAAAGATTAAATTGGCAGAGCGGAGGACCCTTAAGCCACACTGATATTGAGGTTGATTTAATAACATTCTGGCTTCGTTACAAAATAAAAACTTTCTTTGCAGAATCAGTGTTTCTTATACAATTAAATCATTTTCTGTGCCTCTTTCCATGAGACTTCATTTGGAGCTTTTCTGTTGACCACATCTTCTGCCCCCTGTTGGATGTGTCAGCAGCATTACAGGTTAAGGGCTGGATCCAAATGGTAGAGCCTTTATGATCCAATTTCAATCGTCAAGGAAAATGATCATTGTTAAGAGTGTTACCATAGTTATTCTGGCAAGTAGACTTCTTTTTTTTTTCTTCTTCTTCTTTTTTTTTTTCAGAATTAATAGACTGTTCTCAACTCAGATTTTTTTTTAATTAACTGCAAGGTATCTTTTGTTTAAAAATAAGAGACCATCATGTAACATCTTACAAATGCTTGAGATAAAGGGTAATATACTCAAGATAACACTTGGAAGGACAACAATGCCATAAAGCCACTCAGTACTATACATACATCATATAGGCAAATACAGTGTTTTGTGACCATTAGTTCAGACTCAGAATGCTTTGCTAATCTACTGAAATTGTCTTTTTATTATAAATAGAAGTTTCTAAAATCTCTAAAGTGGTATATGGTATAAATACGGCAGAAGAAACACTAAATTATCATAGTAAACAATTTCTGGTTCTGTTTAGCCCTTACCTCCCATTCCTAAGGCTTTTTAAAAGTTCCTGTGAATTCTAGCCATGATTTACATCTTCCAAGATTATTGCCATACATTTAATTCATATTTCTATAATAGTTTTGTTATAAAGGGTAGAATAAAAAGTGATAGTGATGATAATTCTTTGGTTTCTCAATTTGTTTTTAATTATATACCATATATAGTTACGATATCTCTATATTAAATTTTTGATTACTGAAGTCCAAAATTGTTTTTATTAGTATCAGTCATTAGATTCTAATAGCTAAACAGAGAAGGAAAGTATAACAAATATATCATTTTTCTACTTCTTTCTTTTGAGCCAGTCCTTCTTTTGTATTCATATTCTTATAGCATTTAAAAGATCATCCATAATCAAACTTAGAATCTATTCCTCTGTTTAAAAAGACTAAAATAAATTTTATTACTAAATTAGCCTAAACATACCTGGATATTATTCTAAAAAAAAAAACACAAAATATTCTGATTGTATTAATTAATATATGGATTTAGTGTTATACTCTTCCCTAACCAAACCAAGACTAGAAAATTGAGACTTGCTCAGGTCAGTCTGGTAGGGAGTTAGTGTTATATTAGGGTTAAATTAAAAGTTCTGTGCTTTGCAAATTAGTTTATCTCATGCCACTCTTCAATTTCTTTTTTCAACACCTATGCTCCATAGCGTAGTACATAACAGCTGATCTCAGTATCTTCATCTTTTGTTTCATTTCAGTGTCACAGTTTGTTCTCATTGCCTTTTTTCTGAAAAGACTGACTAGAGATATATGATTCTAAAATTTCTGTTTACTAGAAAAGTGTGGAAAAAAACTATCAAAAAGCAAATTGTCTCTTCTCTAGAGAGTTCGGCTAAGATGCGAAACAATGTTTAGCTGAATATTTAGTTTCTCTCCTTCCCCTTTAATTCCTACTATCCCAAAATGCCTTAAAATATGCCTTGTACACTAAAAAATGTTGATTAGAAGCAGAAAAAAGTTATTTTCAGTGTGATACACTATATAAACAGATTTTGTTTCTGTTGGAAGATGAAGTAAATTGGCAGATAGTGGCCATTCAGTTTTGTGAAAATTTGGTGTAGGAGTTACACACAAGAACAAATCTATGGGTGCCTTTTAATTCGTTGAAACATTACTAAATATTCCATTGAACGGAAACATTCAGAACCATGTTGCCACTTAAATACTTTATTTAATAGTTGTATAAAGTGAGACAACATACAGAAATTCGGGATAAGGACTTTATTAAATAATTGATACTTCAGTTAGTATCATCTATACAATATATTTTGTAGAGAGAAAAGAACCTTGCATTCTTATTTATTATGGATAATCAATAATTATAAAATAGAATATTCTGTTAAAATGTAATTTTGAATATTATTTATATACATCTTTATCCTTCATTTACTCCTCTATGCCAAAAGTAGGATTTATTAGATTCTTGATTCTAAATTAATAGTTTGTCATTTTTTTCTATACATTGTACAAAGCTGAAATATTCTAAACCCCCAGTATATTTTTAATAATTTTAACAATAATAAAATTATCATTTTGTATTTAAGCAGAATTTATCTGATTTAATAACTACAAATATTACTACAAATCCTTAGATGGATAATGTGTTGAGAATAATGACAAGAATAAAACCAGCCCTGGCTGGTGTGGTGGCTCAGTGGATTGAGTGCCAGCCTGGCAACCTAAAGGCCACTGATGTGATTTCCAGTCAGGGCACACCTCTCTTTCTCCTTCCCTTCCCCTATCTCTAAAAAAAATAATAATTAATTTTTTAAAAAGAATAAAACCACAGAAGGAAAAATTAATTTCCCATTTAATCAAATGTATGAATCTAATAA